AATAATAATAATGTCCTGCTTATTGAAAGATGCTTGATAATTTATCACCGTTCTAAAAAAACCTTTCTGTGTTCTTTGTATTGTGTGTAAATCAGTTGATGTGTATCAGAATATGTCATATGACTGTAATAAACAGAAGTAATGATGCATTTTTATTCTGCTGAACCACAGTCTCATGCTGGTGCTTCTTACTTAACTTCCCCTCTTTCTGGGCTTACAGTCCTGGATATCTCTCAAAGAGAAGTGATGGATGAGCAAGTTGGGGTGTATACAGGACTGATTCAAAAATAAAGACAGCTATTGCAAGTGTGTCTCAAGATCCACATTGCCCTGAAAACTTCATATAACTTGTTGCTATTGGTATTGTATTGCCTATGAGCCAGATACTTAGACAGCACCTATGCTGATGCACCTCTGTGAATTGCTCTATTAAAATTTAGCACAGTTGTTATCCATTTATAAGACACAGGTGTGTATTGAAATGCAAGCTATGGTGTAGAAGGGTACTTCCTGACCTTTCTTTAGGAAACTCCATGATGCAAGCATTTATCTGTATATTGACATCCTCAAGCAGTAGTTCTCTGTTTTCAGCAAATTGCTTTTTACTGTTGTATATTTTTTAATATATCACTTTATGTTTCTTAAGAAATTGTACTTCCTTTTTTTCCCTGTTTTCAAAAGTGCATTAAAAAGCAATTAACATTTGGCATTTGTCGTTCTCAGGTTTTTCTGGGTTACCCGGTGTTGATGGTGCAGTTGGCGAAAGGGGTAATCAAGGAAGTGATGGCATTCCTGGACCGCCTGGAGAAAAGGGAGCACAAGGTTTTGGAATTATTTTTCCTATGTGTTTTTTAAAATCATGATAGCTTTGTATAAATGTTCAGAATGTACAAAATGTACCTGCACAAAATGAGGGAGAGTGGGTATAAGCACACTAGTTTGATCTTCCTCCTTCCACTCTCATTTTTGTTGAACCATAAACATAGAGGGCGAATTTCTAGAAGGGAAGCATCCTGTATCTTTGGAGACACTCTAGAATCCTGTAAAATCATGCTTAACATTCACAGTTCTGAATATTTTTATCCTTAGAATTGTAATACGTCATCTTTTGTTTTCTGTTCCCCTGTTTGTAATAAGGAATTATATACAATTTTTATATGCTATCATACAGGTCTTCCTGGGTTGAAAGCTCCTGGTCCTCAAGGCATTCCTGGTCCTAAAGGTGAAAAAAACTTTTTTGTTGGGCTGTATTCCTCCAAACATAATTTCCGCACTCTTCCCTCCATTGCAGTGATCTCGCAAATTTAGTTTCACAATTTACTAGCTAATTGTCTTGAAGAAGGTAATGTACATAGTGAGTTACTGTCCTCTTCAGTCAGAGCTGTCAGGCTTAAAATAAACCTAATCCTATCTATATCGCAGAGAATTATATTTTTAAACCTAATCCTATCTATATCGCAGAGAATTGTATTTTTACTTCAGAATATTACTAACCAACTGGTGTATGGTACCAAACTAGTAAGAAGCTTTCCCGAACGTTATGCGAGGCACCACTGTATTACTGACCAACTGGTGTATGGTACCAAACCAGTAAGAGGCTTTCCCACTTAATAGTGATAATACTCAAATGTTTATAATACTAATTTCTCTTCTCTTCTCTTCCTCTTCCTGAGACTAGAACAAGTGATTAACAGCACAGTAGCCAGTTCTGCATTGATGTCAAGCAGGTTTAAATTTTGCAAGAAAATCTCTCTAAAAATGTCTGTCCAGAAAACCCTGACCAGAAATTAGTATGGCTGGACTGTGTTGTAGAAATATGCATCATGTATGTACATGGTAGTATTATTCTGCTAGATTATGCCTCTGATTAAGGTCCTTTTGCAAAAAGAAAAAAAAAGAAGTACTCTTGAGCAATAATAAATACCCATAAGAAAGGAGTGGCTGTTCCAGTCAGAGAGTAGTGGCAATGGAAAGGGCACAGCTTCCTTTTACAGTAACACTGGAATTGATTTTTGTAACCTGAATGACTTTTAACATATAAGAACATAAGAAGACTCCTGCTGGATCAGGACAAGGGCCCTTCTAGTCCAGCTTTCTGTATCTCACAGTGGCCCCACCAGATGCCTCTGGGAGCACAGGAGACAACTAAATACCTGTCTCCTGATATCCCTCCCCTGCATCTGGCATTTTGAGGTCCATCACATGGCTTGTAACCTGTAATGGACGTTTCCTCCAGGAATCTGTCCAATCCCCTTTTAAAGGCATCTAGGCCAGATGCCATCACCACATCCTGTGGCAAGGAGTTCCACAGACTAAAAACACGCTGGGTAAAGAAATATTTTCTTTGGTCTGTTCTCACTCTCCCAACACTCAATTTGAGTGCATGTCCCCTGCTTCTAGTATTGTGTGAGAGGTAAAAGAGCTTCCCTCTATCCATTTTATCCATTCGCTGCATAATTTTATATGTCTCAATCACGTCCCTCCTCAGGCACCAAATGCTGTAGCCGTTCCTCATAAGGGAGGTGCCCCAGCCCAGTCATCATTTTAGTCACTTTCTTCTGCACCTTTTCCAGTTCCACTATATCTTTTTTGAGATGCGGCGACCCGAACTGTACGCAATACAGTACTCCGGTGCACCTTTTCCAGTTCCACTATATCTTTTCTGAGATGCGGTGACCCGAACTGTACGCAATACAGTACTCCAATTGCAGCCTTACCATTGTTTTGTACAATGGCATTATAATGTTGGCTGTTTTATTTTCAATCCCCCTTTTAATGATACCTAGCATGGAATTTGCCTTTCTCACTGCCACCGCACACTGGGTTGACACTTTCATCAAGCTGCCCACCAGAGCATTAAGATCTCTTTCCTGATCCATCACGGACAGCTCAGAACCAATCAGATGCTAAAGTTTTGAATTTTTGCCCCAACGTGTATTACTTTACATTTTCTTATATTGAAACACATTTGCCATTTTGGAGAGATTCTTCTGGAGCTCTTCACAATCCCTTCTGGCCTTCACCACCTAGAAAAGTTTAGTGTTATCTGCAAACCTGGCCACCTCACTGCTTATCCTTGTTTCCAGGACATTTATGAACAGCTTGAAAAGCACCAGTCCCAGGACAGATCCCTGGGGCACACCACTTTTCACCCCTCCCAGCAATTACACACATTGAAACTCAACCAAAACAGAGCAATCCAACATGTAACCAAAAAACAGTAGCCCCTTTCAGGAACTGAGAAAGATGGAAGTAAGCATTGTTCAGGGTTTGGCTTGTCCATGATGTCATGTACTTCATGTGGTTGAGAACTGAGAAAGATGGAAGTAAGCATTGTTTAGGGTTTGGCTCGTCCATGATGTCATATACCTTCATGTGGTTGCCAGAAAAAGGAGCAAACCAGTCCGTTCCCAACCCAGACCAAAACGTAGGACAGTTGCCCATCTGTTCCCATACATATTTGTACAAGTGAGTCTTCTGCTTATAAAAGCTTGTCCATTTGGCTGTGCATACTTTGAGTGTGTGTACATGCAGTCCTTAACAAATCCCTAGGTGGTTGTGCAGTAGGGATCACTGAGTTGAAAATCTCATTCCATGATTACTTGCAATGTTGTGATCCAGTTCAAAAATGTGTGCAGTTATTTATGCTGTGTAGACAGTGGCTAGAATCTTGGCTAAAGGGTTGTATCTAATGCTGTTGCTCCACAATAATAAGTAACCTCCCTTCATGCAAAAGGAGTTGAACATTTGAAAGGGGTATTTTTTTTTCAGTTTAACTCAGTTTCTGTGAATGAAGGATAGTGTTGGATGCAATCCAAACTTTCTTTGATTTCACAACTATACTCTTTCACTCAAGAATGTATATGTTTAGCTTTGGAGAATTCTAGAAGCATGTAATTGCCTCTTTAACATCTACCTAACTTTATTTCAAAAAAATATTGCATAGGTATCAAAGGAGATATGGGATTGGCCGGTTTTCCAGGACCACGAGGTGTTAAAGGTCTTATGGGGGATCAAGGACGAAGAGGACCTCCTGGCATACCTGGATTACCAGGACATCCAGGGGAACCAGGCGTAGTAATTCCAGGTCTGAAAGGAAATAGAGGCCTCCCAGGTCTTGATGGACAACCAGGTAGGAAGCCGTGTGTGTACAGGTCTGTCCATGATTCTCTCTGGATATAGAGTTAATTGAAAGTTCTTAGTTTCAGTGCATTTTAAATGCATTGAATTCTGTAGTCAAAATAATACACTCTTGCATATACTTCTCTATTGGGGAGGGTCCCCCATTTTTTCTCTGTTTCTCTCTTTTTGTAATTTTAATAAGGAGTGAAATAGCAGGTGGAATATGCTCATAAAAATCTTCTAGGTCCGGTTCTCCACACCCAGAACTATGGTGGAGAAACATTAGCAGCTCCTACTAATTCAAAGATTAGGTGTTACCCAGAGAAACATATATTCTGCTATATTACCATGAATTTACTGTGTTTCTGTCATTATTATTTTTAAAATGTTTTTAATTATATAAACACCAGTTATTACATATTCTGTATAACAGATGTAACTATATATATATATATAAATATATACAGGGGTATATATGTATATATATTGAAACCATATAATTAATGTATTAAACAGTTATGGAACTGATGAAGTTAATTCCAACTGCTAGATATAAAATATCCAGGTGTGGATTACCAGTCCATTCCTTTGGATGCCATTCTGGAACAGTCTAACTTGCCTAAGGCTGCACAGGGTGATAAGGAACCTAACTCCATCAGCCATTCACAGTCCTGTGCTCTTAGCTGGCCCCTCTTCTAGGAGCTACAGTGGTCTGTCTGTATATACAATTCCCAAACTGTGTGTAGTTATTCAACTTAAAAAAAAACCCATATAGGTATTCCAGGTATCCCAGGACCCATTGGACTCCCCAGCTTCAGTATTAAAGGAAGCAAAGGTGATCGAGGAACAGATGGGCTACCAGGTCCACCAGGATTTAGAGGTGATGTTGGTCTCCCTGGTCTACCGGTAAGTGACCAAAAAAATTAATCCTTTTTTAAAAATTCATTTCTTATGTTTAAATCTTACAGTTTGGGAGTGCAGCATTGTTTAGCAGAAGCAATATGATAAAATTTGCGCAGAAGAAAAATATGTAATTATCAGTGGGTAATCACCATCACACATGTAGGAAATCTCATAGTGTTCCATTATATAGCTGCTGTAGTAATAACAATTAAAGCAAAAAGCAAAGCGTGCTGCTTATATACCGCCCCATAGCATTTCAAGCGCTCTCTGGACGGTTTACAAGTTAATTATGCAGGCTACACATTGCCCCCCCCCCCCAGCGAGCTGGGTACTCATTTTACCAACCTCAGAAGGATAGAAGGCTGAGTCAGCCTTGAGCCGCTACCTGGGATTGAACCCCAGGTCGTGAGCACAGTTTTGGCTGCAGTACAGCAGTCTAACGACTGGGCCATGAGGCAATTAACAACAATTAAACCCATCTCTGATTTGTAGAAAAACCTTCTTTCATCTTTGAAGCATCCAGTGACTGAAGCCTTCCTTGCACTGTGTCTAACTATTATAACGTCTAGCTTTTCAGACTCTTTCGGAAATCTCTCTTTTGGCTAACTTTCTTCTTGCTTTTTGTCCAAATTTTAGTAGAGAAGAAACATGATCATAGCAATAGTGACTTGAGAGGAAGCAGCGATAAAGAATTGTTGTTGTACTGCTAAGCCTACCTTTGATTCATATTCATTTAGTTGAATTAATAGAAGATGTTTGTCTTACTAATGGAAAAGAACATACTCGCAAACAGTCCAGATGCCTATTAATGGAGGGAGTCTCTTATATCAGCTCTGTCCTAGATAACTTTCCAAGACTAGTAACAAATATGCCTCAGCAAGCAACTGGCTGCAAATTTGCTCTTGCTGATGGAAATGTTTGTGTGAGAGACAGGGAACTGAAAGAGGAGGGGTGTAAGTCATAGGAATGTTTAATTCCTGGAAATGCCCACCCGAGGTGAGATAGTTTCCCTCTCAACTAGAGTCAAATCCAGTTTTGCTCTTTTCTGACATTAGTTTACTACCCTCTCTCAGAATCTCCTGAAAACAGTCAGAGGGCCTTTGTGATGTGGTCACTGATACAAGTTATACATTGTATATGATTTGCAGGGAGTTGAAGGTATCCCTGGCTATCAAGGTCCTAGAGGTGAACCTGGTTTTCCTGGATTTCCAGGCATAAAAGGTATTTGACTAATTTCAAAAGTGTCATCTCATCATTGCTTGCATGTTATACTTCATATATGAACTGTAAATTCAGTTGTCATGGATGAGGAACATCCTGTTTAGTACCGAGTTCTGACACATCTTTGAGGCTTTGGTTTCCTCAAAGGATTTTACAGTGTTGGTTCCAAGATTTGACAGTCCCGCCTAGATACAGTAAATGCCCTGACTATTGCTGGATAAATGCTTGTGCTTCTGAGACCTACCCACAGAAACGTCCAGAGGGAGCATGCAGGATTCTCCTCCCCTGCTCATTACTTGCATGCCTGGAGAGAAGAAGCTCAAGAGGCATCATCAAATGGTTGCTTCCTTTCAAGCTTTCAAATCAAACTGGGATGAATCGCTGCGTTCTTCCAAAGATTTCAGATGCATGGCAGATGCAGTCTCTGACCCAGTTTGAAACAGTTTAGCCCTATTCTGTCATTTATTTTATTTATGGAGCCTGCATGTAATGACCGGATTTGCATTATTTCCATCCTGTCTGATGTTGCTTTTATCTTGGAAACACAAAAGTCTGAAGGAGGAAAGCTGCTGTGCCCAGGCAGCATTTTTGTGGGAGCCAGAACTCAGGGTTCTGAGGAAAGCAGGCTTCTTTCTTCAAACTGTATCATTTCTGGGATTAAGTTAACAACGGAGTTGACTAGCATGTTATCCTGCTTCCATGTGGGCTTTACATTCAGACTGAATAAATGAATAAGGCTACAGTTTCAACACAGCAGCCACGAAATTAAAAGATGCCTGCTTCTTGGGAGGAAAGCGATGACAAGCCTTGACAGTATCTTAAAAAGCAGAGACATCACCTTGCCAAAAAAAGTCCACATAGTCAAAGCTATGGTTTTCCCTGTAGTGATGGACCATAAAGAAAGCTGACCGCTGACGAATTGATGCTTTTGAATTGTGGTGCTGGAGGAAACTCTTGAGAGATCCTGGACTGCAAGGAGAACAAACCTATCCATTCTAAAGGAAATCAACCTTGAGTGCTCACTGGGAGGGCAGATCCTGAAGCTGAGGCTCCAATACTTTGGCCATTTCATGAGAACAAAAGACTCCCTGGAAAAGACCCTGATGTTAGGAAGCTGTGAGGGCAGGAAGAGAAGGGGACGACAGAGGATGAGATGGATGGAGAGTGTCATTGAAGCAACCAACATGAATTTGACCCAACTCTGGGAGGCAGTGGAAAATAGGAGGGCCTGGCGTGCTCTGTTTCATGGGGTCATGAAGAGTCGGACACGACTAAACAACGACAGTTTCAAGATACAGAAAATCATTTTCTTCACTAAAAGAAGCTAACATTTTAAAGAAAATTCTGCCAATCTCCTGACAATCTCCAAATTTTATGAAGTAGCAACTGGTGATAAATTGCCAGGAAGGACCAATATTTATATATTTTCTCTGGATTTTTTCTTTCTTTCAGCAGACAAAATCCTGTTGCTTAACTTTATGCTAGTGAAACCCAGATTGGGGCCCAGAAAAATGTAATTGATAACTTTTGGAAAGTTTCCTCCCCCACCCCCTTTTTTTGCCCCTAGATTCCTTAGGACTCCCTTTGATTCCCTAAGGCAACTTTAGGAACATAAGGACACAGAGATGGAGCCTTTAATACTAAAAAAAATCATGACCAGATTGCCGCAGCTGAGATCAGGATTACCCGTGACAATTTATTTTTACTATTAGGGCCTCCCCCTGTGTCCTGAGGCTCCCAAAGGCTTCACCAAGACAAAAGGGAGCCCTAAGGAGGCTCAGAAGCTGAAATGGGGGATAGGAAACTTTCCATGAGTTTTAGTCAAATGTTTCCAGCACTCAATCCAGATTGTTTGGCATAAAGTTACATTAACAGGATTTTGCTCAATGTGAGACCAGACCATATCTTGAGGGCCAAAGTATGTCATTTCAAGATATGGTGACTAAAACAGGCCAGGGAGTATCAACAAATTGTTGGAACTCTAACAAGGAGGAAGAAACTTTATTCCTCATTCAGTCCATGAGGGCTTCCAATTTCAATATCCAGTCTTCCTGGAAGAATCTTGTCACTTTCTGTGGGGTCTGTATCTACTGTCCCAAAACATATATCTTCCAAGGAATAATGACATTCTATACTATTATTGACTAATCAGGTTATATTATGCAGAAGGAGGATTTAAAAATATAAGTTTATGAAGATATGACACCCCCTGTTGAAATCCAATATTGAGTCAAAAAATAGAGTAAACCAAGTGGACAATGGGTTGGATTGCTGGTTATTCTAAACAGCTTCAGCTAAACATAAAAATCCAGTAATGAGTCACTGAAGCGACTATGTGAAAAGATAAAGAGATAATGTGTGTGTGTGTGTGTGTGTGTGTGTGTGTGTGTAAGAGTATGAATAAGATATATTACTATTATCGTAATACAATATTGTTCTTTTATGATGTTTTGAATGGATTGATAATAACATTTAATTAAAAAAAATGGAAATAAATTGACCATTAAGGTGCCTAATGGTATAGTCAAATATGCATATAGAGGCTCTTTAAGAATCCTGCATATTATTTTGAAATAAAGATGCAGTTTTCCAACTCATGATCCTGATGGAGTTTTGCAATGCATTTAGTTTTTTTTAGACTGAATTATTAACACAGTATTATCTTTCTAGGAGCAAAAGGCAATAGGGGAGCACCTGGCATAACAGGAATGGCAGGGCCTGGAGGTCCCAAGGGTCCACCTGGTAACTAATAATCTGTTTTCATCGATCCAACTTGTCCCTTTTGATTTTTAGTATAAATCAACCATGTCTTTGTTTGATTCAATATTAGGTCAGCCTGGACCAGCTGCAAGTGCTGTCTCTTTCCCAGGAAATCCAGGGCCAGCTGGGCCTCCAGGAATTCCTGGATATCCAGGAGATTCAGGCCCAAGAGGAGTGCCTGGACCACCAGGTATAAGTTTAATCATCTGTTCAGCCAATCAGAGAAAAATATTGGAAATGTTGACGAATAAGGGTAAAGGTTCCCTTTGACATTTAGTCCAGTTGTGTCCAACTCTAGGGCACAGTGCTCATCCTCGTCTCCAAGCCAGCGTTTGCCTATATACAGTTTCCATTGTCACGTGGCCAGCGCGACTAGACATGGACCGCCATTACATTCCCACCATTGTGGTATCTATTCATCTACTCGCATTTACACTACATACTTTCGAACTGCTAGGTTGGCAGGAGCTGGGACAAGCAACGGAAGCTCACTCTGTTGTGTGGGTTTGATCCTACAACAGCTAGTCTTCTGACCTTGCAGCACAGAGGCTTCTGCTGTTTAACCAACAGCACCACCACGTCCCACTTGAAGAATACATAGCCTTAATATATGAAAATGAAGTAAACCTCACTCGAGACTGAAGGATGCCTATGCAATACATGAAAATTAAGTAAACCTCCAAGTATCTTGGTATAGTTTGCTCTTCTTCCAAAATGAACAAAATGTTTGCCAAAGATTATTAAAGAATTAGTTCCAGTTGTGCTGATTGGTGCCATTTGATGCCTAATGATCTTACCAGCATTTCCACTGAAGTTTCTATGTGCATAGTTCAGTTCTTGGCATTTTTGTCTTACAATCTCACTTCTGTTTTTTTAAGGAATTAAATACTTTACAAGAAATGATGGAGGGGATAAGATCATAAAGAAATGCTTGAAAAGTTATCTTTGCTTGATTTTTTGCTGTATTTGTGTGGTTATTTTGTAAATTAGGTTCTGGTGGAAGCCATTGGCAGCAGATATCAACTGCTAATCCACTTCAGAAATCTACTGTCTTTAAGAGAAATGTTTAAAAAGTCTTGAAGGAATCTTTTTGAAATTATCTTCTTAGCTATATATTTTTTTTGTGTTGCTTGTTTTATCGCTTGCCTCTTAAACTCTGCCTCAATACAAAGTGAAAAGAAACAAAACAAAAACAAAATTTCCTACAGAAAAACCTAGGAAACCAGAATGTTTGTAATTCTTTGTTGGTACTGGTTTAAGTCTTGTTTCAGTCTGGAAAGCAGGAAAAATACCAATAGCATGAGCTCATAAT